TGATTGAATGGACATGGATTTTAAGTCCTAACATGGCCACTTAATAACTGTGATCTTGAGAAAGCCACTTATTTCCTCTAAACTTCAATTTCATTATCTGTTCATAGGACTGTTTTAAGGTTTAATTATGTTAATGTGCAAAAGGCTCAGCACAGGACTAACACAAATAAAGCCTCAAAAATATTAACTATTAGGATTTCTTTTTCTTTTTTTGGACAGGTTTTTGCTATAGGGCATGTGCACTCACCACACAGACAGAGAGAGACAGAGAGACAGAAAGCGAGAAATCACCCCCCAAGGGGGATGGCCATGCCACAATCCTTTCTCCTCCGTTCTCTTCTCAGGATCTTGGGCACACATGCACACGCACCCGGCGTGAGTTTTAAGCCACTGGGTCTGGGACTCGAACCGTGGCTGACTACGTGGGAGTCCAACAACATAGCCATTACGCTGCTGGTCCCCAGGATTTCTGTTTCTCAATAAGAAGTAAGCACATTTCACTCTGTCTCTCCTACTGGACAGTTATAAAACCAAGAGAGAATGTATGGTACAATTTAAACTGAAAAGTAAGTGGTAACAAGTAGAGTAAGAAGCCTAGATTTTGAAATAATAAAGGATTCATGCCCAGACATAACATAATCAAACTACTGAAAATAAAAATTAAAAAAATGTAAACACCTTACATTTATGGTCAATTGATTTTCCAAAGGTGTCTGAAAAATTCAGTGAGAAAGAGTAGTCTTTTCAAATAAAGGAGCCAGGACAATTTGATACCCAATATATGCAAATAGATTAATGTAACTCTTACCTTATGCCACATGCAATAAGTAACTCAAATTTGTTCATAGACCAGAATGTAGAGGCTAAAACTATAAATCTTCTAAAACACATATGAGAAAATCATATACTGGGAAAGAAAGAAATATTCATTACATGACCAAAAGCAGAAGTCATAAAAATTTGTAAGTTAGACTTCATCAAAATCTCACACATTACAGCTTCAAAAGATGCCACAAAGAGAGGTGATATTAGTAAAAATAGCACAAAAATTACATTCCAAAATATTTTCCTCCAAAAAAAGCAATGAAAAAACTAGCAGAAAAAAAAAATGGCAGAATAAACTTGCTCAGAACTCTGGAAATTAACCGAAGATCTACAGCAAACTGGGAATATTAGTTCAAGAAAAATTGTTGAATTACAGGTGTATGTGCATGCATAGGAAAGACCTGAAAAGTTCTCACCTCTGACTTAACCTTGAGGCTCTGTGTAAGTAGGAAGTGAAGGCTAAGATGGAATTGAAAATTCCTTTGTGAAATGCTGAAGATGAGTTCAGCATGCCGACAGACTCCTTCAGAGAAAACTGGAGAAAGTACTAATTCTAGACATAATGAAAATATTGTACAATTGGCCCTCTGCATCTGTGGGTTTTCCATCAATGTTGTTGCTGTTATGTACTATGTAATTAGGGCTACAATGACCTTTTTCCCTACATAATTATTCTCTAAACAATACAGTACAGTATGACTACTGAACTACAAGGTTGTCTGGAAAGTCATGATGCATTTTTCTGTTTTTTTTTTTTAATGCAAAAATGCATCATGACTTTCCTGACAACCTAATATTTATATGGCATTAACATTGTGTTAGATACTATAAGTAATTTAGAAGTGATTTAAAATATGTAAGAGGATGTACAAATATGAAGCTATTCTATATAAGAGACTTGAGTGCTAGTCCATGGATTTTGTTCTCTGTGTGTGTGTAGAGGGGTGTCCTGGAACCAATTCCCCACACATATTGAGTAATGATTGTACTAAATTAGAGAATACTACATATTATATGATCCCATTAAAATAAAATGTCCAAAATAGGAAAATCCAAAGGGATAGGAAATAGATTAGTGACTACATGGCCAAGGAATAGAAATGGGGATTGAGAGTATTTTTGCATTGGTGGAAATGTTACAGATAAGAAGTTCTAGTGTTCTATTGCACAGCAGGTTGACTATAGTTAACAATGATATACTGTAAAATTCAAAATAGGTACAAGGATCCTGAACGTTCTTACCACAAAGAAATTTTGAGGTGATACATATGCTAATCACACTAATTTAATCATCGCACATTGCACACATGTCCTGAAACATCACACTATACCTCATATATAAAATTTTAAAAATTTGAGACGTCTCATTTTTTTTTTTTTTTGTGAGAGGTTTTTGCTGTAGGGCATGTGCGCTCGCCAGACAGACAGAGAGACACAGAGAGATAGAAAGCGAGAAATCACCCCCCAGAGGGGATGGCCACACTGCAATCCCTTCTCCTCCATTCTCCTCTCGGGATCTTGGGCACGCACGCACATGTGCCCAGCGTGAGTTTAAGCCACCAGGTCCGGGTGCCCAAAAATCCCAAGGAGAATGGAGAAGGGACCTTGACATGACCCCCAGGGAGTGATTCCTTGCTTTCTGTCTCTCTGATGAGCATATACATCTTATAGCAAAAATCTCTCTTAAAAAAAAATCAGCCAAGAACTTGAGTAGACTTTTCTCAAAAGAAGATATACAAATGGCCAAAAAGCTTAAGATGTTGAACAGCACTAATCATTAGGGAAATGAAAATCAAAATCACAATGAGATACTACTTCACATCCATTAGGGTGGCTATTGTAAAAACAAATCAAAACAAGTGTTGCGAGGGTGTAAAGAAATTGCAATACTTGTGCACTGCTGGTAGGAATATAAACTGGAAAAATTTCTATTGAAAATGATATAGCAGTTCCTCAAAAAATTAACCATAGAATTACATTTGGTCCAGCAATTTCACTTCTGGGTATATAACCAAAAGATTTGAAAGCAGGTACTCATACAGGTTATTTGTATACTCATGATCATAGTGGAATTATCTGCAACAGCCAGAAGGTAGAAACAACTTAATGGTTCATCATGGATGAATGGATAAACAAAATGCAGTATATACACACACTACAGTGTTATTCAGCCTTAAAAAGGAAGGAAATTCTGACACATTCTATGACATGGATGAATGTTGCAGACAATATGCTAAGTAAAATATGCCAGTCACAAAAAGGCAAATACATGATTCCACTTCCATGAGGTACCTAGAGTAGTCAAATTCACAGAGACAGAAATTATAACAGTGGTTGCCAGGTCTGGGAGCAGGGAGAAATAAAGAGTTACTGTTTTGTTTTGTTTTGTTTGAGAGGTTTTTGCTATAGGGCACGTGCGCTCGCCAGACAAAGAGAGACAGAGAGACAGAAAGTGAGAAATCACCCCCCAGAGGGGATGGCCACACTGCAATCCCTTCTCCTCCATTCTCCTCTCGGGATCTTGGGCATGCATACACACGCACCCGGCGTGAGTTTAAGCCACCAGGTCTGGGACTCGAACCCCTACATGGGAGTCCAGCGACATAGTCATTATGCTAACTGCTGGTCCCAGGAGTTAAGTGTTTAATGGGTACAGATTTCAGTCTGGGGAGATGAAGAAGTTCTAGAAATGGATGGTGGTGGTAGTTGTTAAATAATGTGAATATGATTAATGCCACAGAATGATAAACTTAAACATGGTTAAAATGATAAACTTTATGTCATGTATACTTTACTACAACCATAAAAAAGTTTGCTATATCAAAGACACTGTTAAGAGAATCAAAAATACAAGCAACAGACTGGAAACAATATTTGTATGTCACATATTCAACAGAGGATTGTGGTCGGAATAAATAAAGCACTCTCAAAAGTCATTAGGAAGAAAACAACTCAATTACAGAACAGCAAAATAGTTGAACAGACACTTGCAAACAGGATATAAAGGTGGCAAATAAGCACATGAAAAATATGTTCAGCATCATTAACCATTAAGAAAAAGCAAATTAAAACTACAATGAAGTACCATTTCACACCTATTAGAATAACCAAAATAAATACTGACAATACCAAGTGCTGACAAAGATGTGGAGCAGCTGGAACTCTCATACATTGCTGGTGGGAATGCAAAATGAGACAGCCACTCTGGAAAATGGTTTGGCAGCATCATATAAAGTTAAATGTACACTTACCATATGACCCAGTAATCCCACTTCTAGATATTTACCTTAGAGAAATAAAAACTTATGTTCACACAAAAACCTGTACAAGAATGCTCATATCAATATCAATCACAGACCACTATAATCTGGAAACAACCCAAATGCACTTCAATGGGTGAATGGATAAATAAACTATGGAATGTCCATACAGTGAAACTCTACTCAGTGTTGGATGAAGTGTCAGTATAAACACAATGACATGGATGAGTCTGAAAGGCATTATGTGGAGTGAAATAAGCCAGCTGCACAAGGTTACAAATAATATGATTCCATTTATATGACATTCTCTAAAAGATACAACTATAGAGATGGAGAACACATCAGTGACTATCAGTGATATGGGTGGGTGGTTGGAAGCAACAATAAAGGATAGGATGAGGAAGATTTGGGGGGAGTGATGGAGCTGTTCTCTATCCTGATTGTGGCAGTGGTTACATGAATCTACACAATTTATAATTCACAGAATTGTACACCCCCCCAAAAAAAAAGAGAAAAGAAAAAAAGAAAGAAAAGCTCCATGCAATTTTATTGTAAATTCATTTCAAAAATGAAAGAATTAGCTCTTACATTATCATTATCATCATCAATAGTTATACTTTATTAAAAGTCTTCAGAATTATTAGTGAGATGGAATCTAAAAATCATTTAGGTCAACTTATATTTGGTACAATAACTTAAAATATAGAGTAAAAAAACACCACTAAATGTAAAAGCTTTACAACTTTTACTAACTCCTCTCTAATAGTCTACATCAGGGTAATATGTTCCCTTTGGAAAATTTCCTATAAACATTGTCATATATTGAATATGGCATTAAATAAGTTTTCAATTTAGAAGTCTGGGACCCTAGGTTACATTCCTAAATCTAACACTGTAAGAAAACTCTCGACTTGCCTTTTGTGCCTAATTTTATCTTCCTCTTCATTGAGGTCATGTACTTGTCTGCACTTGTCTTTTTGTGGTATGCTGTGAAGGTTTAAAGCAAGGAGTTTCAAAGATAGGAAACAGAACAGATTCATATACCACCCGCCCCACACCCCAAATACAAGGTACTGCTCTAAGTGATTTCCATGTATTACCTCACTTAATTCTTCTAACAACCCTATAACATAGCTACTGTTAATATTCTCATTTTACAGATGAAGAAACTGAAGCATAGAGAGAAGTAACTTGCTCAGCATCTCCTACCTAGTAAGTGGGGGAGCCAGGATATTACCTGGCAGTCTGCCTCCAGAGCCCATGTTCTTAATCAGTATGTTACAATATCTCTCCACAAAAAACTGTTCATTTGTTCATTCATTTTCTCATTTACCACTGCTCTGCCATGCCTATGGTCTCTAACAAATTAGTCATTTTCAAGGTTTTAACATATCATCTAAGCATGGTGATTCCCAATTCTATACATCTAGTTCAGACCTCTCTCCTGAGTTTCACTGCTGCATTTCCACTTGCCTCCTCAATATCTGTATTTGATGATCCTGCAATTTACACAAATTCGACATGTTTAAAAGCAAACTCAACATCCTTCTTCAAAATTTCCCCATGAAGGTTTTCTTAATTTTCTTAAGTCACACAGCCTTGAAATATCTAGGTTATCACGGACACACTCCTTTTCACTGAACCTCTTTCTTAACTCTAAGTCAACAAGTTTAATAAATTTTTTCTTTGTAACATTGCTTATAACCAAACCAAACACTCTTTCTGATTCTACTGCCATCATTCTAGTCTACATTTGAATGCCTAAATGATGATACTACTTTTTAACCATTCTCCCTGCTTCGAATTCTTCCTTTCTCTAATCCTGTTTATTGAACATCAGATTAATCATTTTCAAATAGCCTTTATATTATTCCTGTTGAAAAGCCTTTAACCATATTATAACTAACTAACTGAATAACTCTTCATAAGTCCATATTACCTATTAAATAAAGTTCAACTACCTTTCTAACCTTGTCCATCACAACTACCTCAAGCACTCAATAGTACTTGCACCTTCTGTTACAATTAAAATGCCATTCCTTCTCCTTTCTAAAGAATGGGTAGTGTTAAAAAGAACATTTACGTCTTACTTCTTCTGAGAGGCCTTTTTCAGTTATGCCAATACAAAGTGGCCTTTCCCTCCTCTGAACTCCCACAGCACTTAGCAATTGTATCTAGCATTGTTACTGAATGCTATGTTTATCTGAGACCAGATTATACTTTGCACCAGGTTAGGAACCATTCTTAAACTTCCATGCTCTTTCCACTGTGCCTAGCAAAACATTTGTTAAACTAGTACTTCCTGCTTAAGACATACTATTTATCTATATGTTTTGTGCTAATTTATATGTAGTTCAGCCTAAAGACCATTCACAATCTAGCCTTACTTTCCTTTCCATTGTTATCTCTTGTCATTCCCTGCCATAATCCTTAATTTATGCCACACTCAAATTCTAATTGCTCCATAAACACACCAGTTCCTTTCACAACCCTGTTCTTAATCACTATCTGTAATGCCCTTTCCCACTTATTTAACCTGACAAATGCCTACTGATACATCAAGACTTAGTACAAAAAGGGCAACTTCTGACTCCCCCAACTAGAGTTAGATGCTCTAAGTTCTGTGCTCCCTCAGCATTTTATTCAGATCTCTATAATAGCCATTTCCATGTTTTCATGCAAATAGCTCTGCACATATTTGTCTCTCTCTTGGGACTACATATTCCTTAAAAGCAGTGATAAGTTTGTCTTTTCCCTATTCCCTTCCCTATCTCTTTATATTTAATGCCCTCCTATTAAATCTTTCTCTTAGTAAAAGAACATATC